CAGTCACGCCTAAGGGGTGAGGATGGTTCTTTTCCATGGAAGCACCAAATACACGAAGAGGCGTTCAAATTAGTTATTTCTTTGCTTTAAACGGACAGTTAATGACAGATGCAGCTCGACTGCACCCTTGCCAACGCTCTCTTTTATACACTGTACTCTCCACGCCATCAGTCCTCTCTCTCCCTCTCACTCAATCACTTGCTCCTACAAGCTCCCCCTGCCATGTGGCGAGTATGCACGTGTGCTCCCTTTCTATCTCTTTCTCTCGTGCTCCATTAATCTCTCTGTGCAGCCGGATGCGGGCAGAACGAGCTGCATCCCCAACACTAAAAATAACCACTTCAGTGTGACAGGGGTGGGGGGGTGCCGGAAAGGGGTGTGTGAGCGTGGGTATGGGAGGTGTGTGTGTGTGTGTGTGTGTGTGTGTGGGGGGGGGGTTGTACTTACAGCTCACAGGCATAAGACTGAACCACCATTTCTACAGTTACAGTGCAGGGAAAGGAGTGAAGGGGAGTAGGAGAAGTGTTATATATTTTCTGCAAACCCTCAACAGAAAATGTTGAGCCACAGCAATTACAGAATCTCGTTTTCTCTTTCTTTGCTTGAGAAAATTGGACAAATACATTCACTTATGCCCTGGCATAGAGGAGCTAAAGGGGCTTTTCATTTCCTGAGGTTTTCCAATCAAAAGCTTTCAAAGAGCCCACACTTCAGAGCAATTATACTGACACCAGGAACAACAGTATAAACCTGAAGGCAGGGAATGCGGTGAAGAAAAATCTAAAGATTGTGACAAAAACATAGAGAAATTACTCAACTGCACAATTAAGTGAAAAACAGTTGCAAAGATTGAGATGTAATTACAGCATGAAGCTGTATACTCACTCACTGCCAAATAAAATTCAGTCACACATCTGCAGTATACCTTTATACATCCATAATGGTGATCAGAGTATGACACAATGGTAGCCACTGACTGAATACTGCATTCACACTGACTAATGTGAGAAACATTAGAATCTGTAAATGTAGGTGCAAAATCTAAAGACTGTGCATACTTACAGTATATATTGTATGGATTCCAAGGCTATATATAACAGTGTATGCAGCCTTGGAATTATTAAGCACAGAATATGAATGCTACACCAAATCCACTGTACTGTATACAGTATATTTCCATTAAAACACAATTGATCTTTGCTACTAACTATTTCCAGACTCCCAGTAACCCTACTCATTATTACAGTAATGCAACAGTGTGTTTGAAATGGTAATAAGACACAGAACTAGAGAAGGAACGCTTTGGTGCTGAATTATATTAATTTCTAATGTCAGACTTTCTGACTTCTTTTGCAAAAATTCTTCCCTAATGATCTGAATACATATGTAAATAGTCTTAAATAGATGTTTGTATGGTGCCTTGATAAAAGGTGACACTAATGAGGATGTCTCTCATGGCTCACTCTGTTATAAAGTCGTAATGCGTGAATTGGCATCTCGCTACAGGGGATGACAGTAAGAGGATGGGTGCCAGATCTGAATATGCTTATTCAGCTTCCGTGGCACAGGCTATTTCAAAGGCTACATCTAACATCACAAGACATGGAATTAGAGTATACACACATCTCTGACCAGGCACATCACCGCTACTGCAATGTTTATCGGGCAAACTCATGTTGCAATGCAGCTCAAGGTAAACCGCCATCATCTTCATTTCTTCATTCTTCTCACAGCCACCATGAAAAAAATATGATATCAATATAAACGTAGCTGCAGGCCTATAACAGATTGTGTAGTAACCTAATGAGAATGCCAACAGAGACCTAAAATACCATTGGGGTTGCTATGCCAACAAAGCTTCAGGACATAAAGGGACCACCAACGAGCCTGAATCTCAATCCTGACATCTGTGCAATCAGCTCTAGCACTGGTGTCAACAGTATAGCAGCCTCTTCATAAACACTACAGGCCTGCTCCAACCTCTCTGTGAATCTGAAGAAGAAGCTTGAGGGACTCGCTTTTACATCTTGCCTTCCCTGCTCACCGATAAATCGGGCACCATATTTATCAGGTGTCTCAGAGTAGGAAATGAGCACAAACTGGCCGAGAGTGCACGGTGAAAATGTGCTCCTCATATTGGGAGTTATTAAGGAGTTGTTATTAACTGTCACAACTTGTGAATTTCATACTAATTTATTGAGCATTTAAGCTTCAGATCTGTTCTAACCTGTCAAAAAGTAATAAACCATTTTTTTCCTGCATCGAATTACTGTCTCCTCATAAGCCTGTCAGTTTTTAAAGGTGTGGAATGAATGCTTTTACAACACAAATTTCATTTTAAGAGTCTGTAAATCACAAGGACAACTTCCCCTTCCTTGCTGAGAGTGTTGGCAGTGTCACAAACATTTAATAATTACTCTAAAATAGGAGCATTTTTAATCCTTGAGCACGGGAATAAATGACAAGGTTTGTATGTGTTAAATAGCTTAAATCTTTGTTTGCCAAAGTGGGATCTCAGGATGACCAGAGGTTGTTTAGAAGGTTACAGGACATAACCATGATAATGGTATTTCACTCCTAGGAAATCTACACAATCCACCCAGCCAGTGCCAATCATATCTGACAGCAAAGGCCTCAAATTTAGTTGATTAGAATAAACACAATGTTTTGCTCATAGTTGGAGCTTCTGATACAAAAATGTTCAAGAAAACTCAACTTCCCCAATTAAAGCAACATACATTTACATTTTAAAAATGGCAATATATGCTCTGCCTGCAAATTTTAATTTACTACCGTGACTAAATGCCATTCAAGGGCTTATAACGGATTTAGTCCTTATATTTAATACAGACGAGATCTTCTTTGGTCCACTTTCTACTTGTTTCACTGGAGAAATCTATCATAGGCTTAGATTATTCAATAGAAGTAAATGTGGACACCACTGGGGAATGCTGGACAGAACAAGTTGGCTCTGTGGTTGTCATTGTAAAGCTCAATCAATGGGAGAAATATAAATCTAACAATGCTGCAACCAATCACAAGGCTCAAAAAAATATCTTACTTAAGGCTACTGAACACGCCTTTTTTTTTTTTTTGCTCCGCGCAATTACGCATGAAAACTGAGCTGAAATATCTGCACCGGAGAGGACTGCTATGCCAAATGATATCTGCTTTTTGGCATGGCCATAAAACACCACATTCTCCTGATACACAGGGATAAACAGAGTGGATTACATCTTGTTTTACTATGTTTGACAGTGGCTGCCAGATAGCATACACCTACTCCATGAATCGATCCGGTTGTAGAGCCCAGCCTGTCACCCAAGACAGCAGGAGTGAAATATTTCAGGGTAAAGAATCAAGTCATAAAGACAATATATTAGAAATATAAAACATCCCCAAAGGTGATGTGAGGTATTCGCCTTATTAATGGCACATGCATGAGAACTGCCATTTAAACATTCCTGTGCAAGATGGCTAGTGTAAAGTATTGATCGTTATTCTTCCAGGTAAATCCCCACAAAGCTGTAAAGATCAGACTTAGACACTAGAGCAGGTCGAGAAACATGGACAGCAAGTCGCGCCAAGACATGGATTTCCTCTTACCTCCAACACACAGTAATGACATTTCTTATATGCGCCTTTAGTACAGGGTCCAGCTTCTTCACCAGCTTCCGTAATTGAGCTAATCTGTGCAATGTAGAGCCTGGGAATGAATGATCGGGGCTGGAGATGGAGCAGCCTGCCGTCGCCGGCAGAGACGGGGCCTGGCAGCGGCTCGTTGCGCTTCACGGCAATAAAAAGCTTCACACTTGGAGAGTGAACGCCAGCGCCCTGTCCTCTCTGCTCTTTTTTCCTTTTTTTTTTTTTTTGATGGCGTGTCTGTCTAGATTTGAGACTCTTTTCGCCTCCCCCCTTTCTCTCTCTCAGCTCTCCGCTCCCCAGCACACAGCCATCTTGTTCAGCTTCAGCACCACCGCTGCTGTGGACCGCTCCTGGCAGTGACGTCAGCGCGGTGGTGGTGATAGTGTGTATGGGTGACGGGGGAGAGTCGGGAGGGGGGGGATGCTCAAACACCGGATAATTAACCTCTCCCTCCACATTTTCAACACATTTCTTAAAAATATGTTAGGAAAATCCTCAGATGTTATTCGACATGGAGGAATATTGTAATTGATTTCAGTATCGATATTAGACAGCCCTACTTTTAAAGGAAACACTACTCAAGAGGAGTTCTGGGTAACAATTACTCAGCAGTGAGTCAGTTGAAGGACATTCATCACAAACACTGAGTGTCCGTTACAAGTCCCTTCAGCAGAATTTCTAGAAAATGTGTTTTAAAATATTTTTAAATGGATTCATGGTAATCAAGACAGGAGATGGACTGAGAAGACTTCGCTTGGTGACTTACTGTCTTCACAAATAATAATCATATGTTTACTGTCATCACTTATTGGGCTGCACTTCCCAGGAATTTAATAGTTTAAGATATTAAAGTTTCCTGTAAGAGGGTAATGGTGCTACACATGAACGAAACAGGAGTTAAATGAAACTTGACTGGAAACAGATGAACTGTTGGTTCCAGTCTATAAAATACAGAAAAAACAGAATAGATCATTTGTGCCTTGGTGTGACCAAGTAGCTCATTGTTAAAATCTGAGCCAAGCTCAGTCATGTTAACTTGTGTTACATATTAACCACAGGTCATCCCCACTTTCATCTTTCCAGTTTAAAAAACCCACAAAACAACCAGACTGATAAAACTTGAAGGCTGGTCCAAGATTCACGGCTTCCACTGTGCGCCAACAGCTTCCCCTGCTGGACCACAACATCCACTGCAGCCTTACAGTGTCTCCTTTAGGGTCACTTCACCAAAATTAAACAAAAGCATATTTTGCCAGTAACTTTTAATGGCATCTAGCCTTGGATATTAGGGGAAAACAAGTTGTTTTGTGATTCAACTAAAACTTGACATGTGACACACATTAGACACATTCTCCTTTTGTTGGAAACATTTTCAGTATGGTTTAATGAACATTTCAGAAAATACAAATATACTTCACAAATATATAATATTCTGACAACATGTGAAACTGCTTGTCCATTCAACAACCTGCCATTATCAATGTAAATTCAAACATGTATACCCCAACATTTCATTTTATCCTTTTCCAGTTTTTTTTCATGCACTCTAAATAACACTACGTACACATTACCCACCCACCCATTGCCAGATGGCATTTATTGTAAACTAATAATTAGGCCCGTCTTATTGACAGGTCACGGGTCTGTAGTAATTTATGATACTACACAATAGGGATATGGTCAATCGAAAATATTAATTAATGCAGTTCAGAAGATAAAATTACATTACATTTAATAAAATCCCTGAACTGTAAAAACCCTCAACACTGCCACACAGATTTACATTCGCAAGAACCCGTGTGTATGAATACACACATTCTCCAGAATACACATATTCATAGAGAAGAGGCATGTAGACATGGAGTGTGTGTGTGTGTGTGTGTGTGTGTGTGTGTGTGTGTGTGTGTGTGTGTGTGTGTGTATGTATGTGTGTGAGTCTTTTGAAGTGTCTGTACCCTTGCCTTTATTATCCTTGAGATATCCACGTGCTATGTTGAATGGCACTGACTTGACCCAATACCACAGAGCCTGTCATGTGTCCCCTCTGGTGCAGGAATAAAAGGGTCACCAGCTGGAGTCTCCTCATAACTTCTCACTGCAATGAATAAAACCATGCCGTCAGAAAAAAAAGAATGAGGGGGGGAGACAGCTAACAAAAGAAACAATTTATTTTTGTCAGGAAGTTAAGTTTATCTGAGCACCACGAACCTGCTTCCTGCCTGATCATAAACATTGGTTTAATACTACTTCTACTATCTATGTTCTCACAGGTTAAAAATGTGTCTGTGTAATGACTTGGGAGGATTGCTTACACTGTAAGACATCTACAGAACCAAAATATACAGTGATATTATATAGCAGTGTAGTATGAGGAAGAGAGATTACACTCTTCTACATTCTGCACTGAACACTGACATTTCCAATTGATGGAAGTACCCTCGACACTTAAACATGACTTTAAACAATTGGACCAGTGAAGAAAAGAAAATCTTACAAGGTTGCACCTGATTAGTGTGCACTGTTCACAGCACTAAAGCTCAAGTGCAATGGTCTTCAAGCTTTTTAAAAGGACCAGTGTGTAGGATTTAGTGGCATCTAGCGGTGCATTAACAGATTACAACCCCCTTGCCTCACCCTCCCGTGACAAGCATGTAGGAGAAACTATGTAAAAACTTGAAAAGTCCTATCTAAAGCCAGTGTTTGTTTTGTCTATTCTGGACTACTGTATAAACATGGCGGTCTGACATGGCTCTGTAGAAGAAGACCCGCTCCCTGTGTAGATCAAAATGTCTCATTCTAAGGTAATTAAAAAAATAACATTTCTTATTTTCAGGTTATTATACACTAATGAAAACATATTTATGAATATTATATTCCATTTCAGCAAACAGATCCTGCTAAATGTTACACACTGGACCTATAAGGGAAAACTTGTGTCATTTCCCAATTTTCTCGTACTTAAGAGATTTTCTCTTAGGAATAAACTAAAGTGTCTCACTTCATTCTCTTTTGCACCTTCCAGTTAACATGTTAACCTGTTAACATCACCTACTGCAGGTTGCATGTAGCACAACATTTTAGCAACCACTCCTAATGATGATGAAACATTTATACCCAGTTTAATACATAATTATACATTATGCTTTGATAAAGAAAAGATGATTGTGTGCACATCCAATCCTATATTAAGGTGAAGGATAGCAGATTCATTAGATTGAGAAGCAGCAGAGAGGCTCAGCTGACTGAATTATTGCTCGAACCTTCTTTAAAAAAATAAAAAAATAAATCAAGTTGCATCTGGGAGATATTAGTTACCTGTCCAGATGAGAGAGGACATCGCAAAGTTGGGTGAGCAGAGCACGATGCTTGTGAGGGTTTCCCTCTAGCACTCCACTGAGACGACTCAGGTATGAGTCCAAGTTCCCAAGAGACGCTGTCTCACCTGTACCTGTTCAGAAAAGACACAGAAGAATTAAATCCACACATCCTCTCAAGGTGAAATACAGTGGAACTGACTGATTTTACTACATCAGTGAGATGTAAGCACAACTGACTGCTGACCTGGCAGGGGGACTGATGACAGACTGTTGACCAGTGTGTGTTTAATGGCCAACAAGTGTTGGTGAAGAGCCTGGGTTCTCTTCTCGTCCAGCCCCAGTTCAGCTTCCAGTCGCTCTTTAGCGTTGTACATGTCCTTAATGTGCCGCTGAAGCACTGCGTTCTGCTCTTCAAACTCAATGTTAGCCTTACGAAGCCGTCGCAACTCAGCCTCTCGAGCTGAAACCACAAAGACAGAAATAAAACGGAATTTTGTGAGAGTGTAAGATTATATCTAACACCATCTGTTTAATGCTAGATGGAACTTACTTTACTAAGCTTTTGTACCCAGCCATATTAAAGTGGGTTTGTGATAGATCAGAATGAGCATTTTGAGTTTCTCTGTTACCTTTGTTCTGATCGAGGAACTCTTCTGTGAAGATAGGGATGTCGAATCTGCTTGAGAGGTCAGAAGCCTAAAAGGACATCAACAGACAACTTAGCTGTTTGAAAAGAATGTGAAATTGACTTGCAGAATATTTTGTGAAAAGATATGGATGTGTCATGTACCTTTGATAAAGATGACTCTGAACTAGTACTGATGATGACAGATGGAGTGTCTTCTGAAAGAGAAAAATGTGAGTGCATATTACTGCTCACGTAGTACACAGTTATTCAAAAATAATGATACAATATCTTGCCTTGGTGATGTGGTGGTTATTCTTAAAAAAATAAAAAAATAAGTAGAACTCATTTGTCACCTTTCTTGATCCTCTTGTCTTGTATCTTGGCACTGGTGATCTGATAGGCCTCAGTCTGCTGATATTCCTTCAGTTCCTGGGCATACTGCATCTTCTCCCGTTCAGCCTCGTCCAGGTAGCGCTGTCAGTGCACAAACAATGTTGTGCTGCTTTACTGAGGAAAACAACTGTCTTGCTAACAGAGAGGTGCCTGATTATTTGAAACTTTTTTAAAGGCTTGTAAGAAATATCTTTTATAAATGAAATCCAACAATAGGAGTTCATGTGTGCATCTTTATGAAAGTAAACAAGACAGATGAAGATGCTCCTCGCAGTAACAGTCAAACACGGCGATAACACCTGCAATTCAATTCTCTCTGTGTGCAATTGTGGATACCAGCGCAGCTGACCAGTAACAGACCATCATTAAATACCCAGTAATCACAATAATGTGTGGTACCGAATATAAACAATACATATAACATGCATACCTTCAAAACATGAATAACTACCTGTTTGTCATTCTGGGCTAATCGTGTCCACTCGGCTCCGAGTCTCTTGGTGATTTCTGGGAAAGGTAAGTCAGGGTATCGGGCCCGCATATGCTCTCGCCGTTCATTCAGGAAGCGGACATATCCTGTTACCGGTGCCTTTGGACCATTTGGTAGCACCTTCTTTCTTTTCTTTCCCTTCGGCCATCCTCTCTTCTTTGGCTGCAGAGAGGGGGAATAACGGTCTCATGAAGGTGTTGGCTGCTCACTCATCTGTTACTCTTTACTTTTGTTCAGTAGAAATGTAACAATATGATATACTACGATTGTCACTAACAATTATTTTCAATTAATATGCAGATTATTAATCGTTTGGTCGGTAAAATGTAAACAACTAGGCAATAGTATAATATAAAGATTACTTTTTTTGTTTAACCAGAAGTCCAAAACCCAAAGATATTCCATTTACAATCATATTAGACCAAAAAGAACAGCAAATATTCACATTCGAGAAGATGGAAGCATTTTTGTTTTAAAAATAACTCAATTCATCAGTAATTAAAACGGTTTCTTATTAATCTTATGCTAATCCACTAAATTACTCATTGTTCCAGCTCTACTACATAACCCTGTAATAAAGGTTAGATATTAGTTCAAAGAGGTGTTATTTCTACGTTATACGCATTTAAGTTGAACTGTATTACATTAAAGTGAGAGGTTTTTTTCTGTTTGTTAATTTTCCTTTCAATTTGTATTGTATGTATTGACACAGTCTGTCCTTCCTCGCGAGGAAAAGTCCTTAATAGTTTCTAATATTCTGCTCAGCTGTTAACAGGACATTGCCATAAACTAGCATATGCTCACTCAGCCAAACTATCCTGTATAACTTAAATAGTTAAATACATTTCTAATAATCTGTCCCCTCCTGTAGTATCATAAAGGTGGAAATTATTACAGGGCTGTTGTATTACTGTGAATTACTTTTAGCTACCTAATAAAATGGGTTTAAGTAACAGTTCAACTCCTTAAACAAAACGGCTAATCAAATCTTTAGCAGCAAAACTTGACAGCCTTATTCCAAAATGAAAGCAATATACAAGAGATGTAACAGTACTTACCTCCTCTGGCGGCTGATCTGCTGAATGGGAAGGTTTGGACTGATGTGAAGCATCACTCTGCTCTTGTTTGATCCCCCCCATGATCTTCGTCCGTGCAATCGACTATATTAAAAAGAAAATGGGTGTTAAAATGGGTCTCAATCCGTAGGGTTATTCCGTGAGAAGACGCACGAATGCAGAATAACAAGGTAGAAGTTGTAAAACAAGATGCGAGCACTGATAAATTTCAGCATTATTTCCCCCGCAGGGAATCCGCCTCTAAGCTAACCTGGCTGCTAGCAGCTCTCACACACACAACGGACAATATACAGACCAAACGGTGAGCTAAAATGATAACTCTTCACAAGGGGAAAAAACAATCACAGCAAAATATGTATTGACGCCTACAATAATCTTTATTGGCACGATGGTAGTTTTATTGAATTACTTGTACTTTTTAGGATAAACGTCTTTTAACTCACCCGATACCGATTCCCTCGGCCAAACAGGAAGAGAACCCTGCCTGTCTTCTGATTGGTCGGTGCGGAGAGTCATGATTGGTTGGCACCAGAGTCATTAACATATATATATATATATATATATATATATATATATATATATATATATTTATCATATATAATGGCCCCAACCCCCCTAATAAAAGTACCAGTACCTCAAGAAAATCCCTGAATGTAGTAAAAAAAAAAAAAAGCACAAAAGCGGCCTACTCTTTGCACTTTATTACTTTAATAAGGAGTATATTAAGTATATTGGTTTCTTGTCTTTTATATTTTTCACTATATTTAAGGTTTGTAGTCTACATTTGTATTCTACTTTACTTTTTATTTAACTGTGCTCCCATATACAGTACTCCCGTATTTATTATGTTACTATTGTAAGGTGGATGAGATTACACATTTTATGTTGTTATGCTTTTCTGATATGGATGATATTGTTTTTATATGAAACTTGGATAAAGTTTAAATAAAGCCAAGATGTGTGTCTCGCTTCAACACGCACAAATCACGTGTCCACAGTGAACAGCCCTATTTCAGCAGTCATAGCGTTTCTGTCTGAGTTTTATTTTGAAAGTTGTCATTTGCCACTATGTCCGCTGTCCCTGGCGTTAATGTTTGTCGTTAATATTAACCTTCCATTGTGTATTACCACAAATGTTCAGTGTAACGTTCATAAACTTATACACATATGAATGTATTATATATGTATGGTAACTATTTGGAAAGGTTAGCGTCACCGCCCTGAGCCCCCCACTGGTCACAGTGAGGAACTGCAACAAAACGTCAGCCTGGAAAAAGCAGGTCAGTGCAGGCCTGGCCTGTGGCAATAGTGACATAACAGAAAATCTGAAAACAAAACTAAAGGGAATATCATGAAGTAATGGCTCCACGTTGTAACTTTTCCATATCTATACAAATTAGAGGTTTAGAACGCATACAGACAACTAGTATTGCCTCCCTTGCTCAGATTTATATGTCCCAAACAAGTCTAGGACTGTTGACCAATTATCTTGTTTACTTAGAATACTCAATCTTTTCATGGTTTGTGGGAATCTCACAGAACAAGTAATGCCAGAGTTGACTTGGGCCTGAACCCAAGAACACATGTTGGCAAACAGCAACTCCAAGTTTGTCTGAAGGATAGAGCCATACAACAACTGCAGCTGAGTGTGGTAATAACAGTATCTTAAAGACCACCTTTGTAGAGTTGGGGGAACTCATGCCCACCAGACTAGAGCCAGTGTTTGAGGTTCACTTTTATGTTGTTTGGAGTTATTTTACTGATGGTAATTGTAGTGTAAAAAAAAAAATAGAAGCCAAGCAAACTAAAGTCAAATTATTTTGGCAATACCTACTAGTAACCTTTGACCTTAGATTATAAAAGGAGGCAGCTCCATCAGTGATACTTGTTATGTGCAAATACATTCCCTGGCAAATCAACTGCAAAACATCCTGGTTCCTCAAACATCTTGTTGAGTTGTCCTCGGTGACATTTGTGCAAAAACCAGCTTGCTTCACTAGTTCCATTTAAGAGCTAGCAGGCTTGAGTTGCCTCCCACACATACCATTTACCTGAACATTAACTCATCACTGCACATAAGACACTGAAAACCTTCTGCATTAATGTGCTGTATACTGGAGATTTGAGTTGATCATAAACATGTTATTTAATGTGCTTACAGGAAGAAATGAGAATGAGTTTAAGAAAGCTGCCTTTTTGGAAAAAGAATCTCTACAAATCTGAAGTTGAACACTAAAACTCAGACGTGGCTGCTTAAGTTTACCCCTTCATTGTTTGTATAGCCACCAGAAAGTTAGATTCCAAAGTCCAAAAGGTTCCACATAATCCCCATAAAGAAAAACAGACCAAACCATTCAAGTTTTTTATTTTCCTTTATTATTTATTCGTTTACAATTTTTGTAGATGTTTATTCATTATTGTCAATGCTTTTGGCAAACATTAGTGCTCACTGTGTTCTGTACAGTCCGGTCCCACAATGTATACTTAAAATGTGTTGGGAAAGGAGGAATGAGGCGAGAGCCAAGTGGTGGTCCCAGGCTTCTACAATTTGTCCAGGTAGTTGTCCAAGGCTGGGACACCTTCCTTGAGACCCTTACGTTTGCGTGTGTCTGTCACAACAATACCAGGCTTGCTTGCTGGGTCCATTGGGTCGCCGGGGAGGATCTGCCAGTGGTCAAACACACACTGTGGGAAGGCCTGGCCACCAGTGTTGGAACGAAGGTCAGCTGTGAAACCTGAGAACAGACAGAGCAAAATACATTTAATACCTTCCTGCCAATCCTCTGTCATCATGGGCAAATGGGTTGCAAGGAACTCTGTCACAAATATGGAAGTGATTATTTGTTTTCCAATCAATAGCTAGGGTCTTTTAATATCATATGGCATCTACAATTACCCACACTGGGTTTGTAGGGCACTAAAAAGGATGTGGATGTCAACATAATGTACAGCAGATAAATGATTGACCCTTGAGTTTAAAAAGAGCTACATACCAATATTGGCCTATTGTGCACATACCACTGTAGTGTAATGGACTATTTTCTCTTCTACTGCCACTTATTTTAAAAACCATTTGTGGACTGCTTTTAGTCTTCAGGTTCAAGTAAAAATCACATTCAGCAACTCATCTTTTATTCCATCATTGTTTCGTCAATGATTGGAAATAAAAAATGTAAACTACTAATGGATAAATAAATTAGTTTTAAGTATCTTTAGATTAACTACCTGGAATTGCTCCTGACAAAAAGTCTCTTTCCAGTTTAGGTACCTAAGCTTAGTAACATTGTGTCTTGTTATTACTAGTAAGCATTATAAATATAAGACCAATGTCTAAGATCCAACTGAAAACACATTCAGGTCAGATCAGAATATTGCTTGCTGAAGAGGACTTACCAAATGACTCCATGACAGGCAGGTAGGCCTTGGTAACACGCATGGGTGTTCCCATGACACTGACTTCCTCAAACACGTGACCACGCCTCCTGGTCAACACACCGTAAATTCCACCCACTGCAGCTGCAGGACACTGCAAAGTAGAGAAATGATATTGAGTCATACAGACAACGGTCACATTTGTGAAAAGATGAGTTTACTGTTAAATTGCATTCAGATTCAGATCGAAGGACTTTGTAAACTTGGTGCCATATAGTTATTACTACTTTAGTGACACTTACCTGGATCTCCACCAGGTAGACTGGCTCCATCATTTTGGGCTCGGCTGTGAGCTCGCATGCATAAAGAGCTCTGCGAGCTGTGGGAATAATCTGACCACCACCACGGTGAATAGCATCTGTATGCAGGGTCACATCGTGGACGTCGAAGCGAATGGCACGCATGTTCTCTTCACAGAGGACACCCTAAAGACAACATTGAGACACCAATTGTAAATTAAATAGTAGCTCCACTGATCACTGTGTAAGAGAAGACACAATGGCTTCAGAACTCAACTGTTTTAGATTAGCAAAATCAAGAGTGAATTCCTGCATACTTCCTTACCTCCTTGACTGCCCACTGGAAGCCAGCCACAACGCTATCCTTGATCTCATTAAGGTACTGCACTCCCTTGGTAACATCCACCAACATGTTGGGGCCAGTTCCATCAGGTCCAAAGCACCAGATCTTTCTGGCCTCACCGACATCCCACTCGTACTTGTCAGCAAGGTAGCGGGCACGGGCCTTGAGCTCCTGACGAGCGCTCACGTCACCCTTCTCAATGTCCTCTGCAAGGCCATCTTCGAAGGGACGGGCCTTCATGAACAGACGGTTGTGCTTGTTGGGTGACTTGGACAGACACATGACACTTGATTCTGCAGCGACGGTCTCTCTGTAGGACACCACTGGATCAGATTTCTGAAAAAGGCAAACAAGTTTTAATGGGGAAATATTTACCTCGAAGGATATCAAAATTACATATTTCCATGTTATCTATTCGATGGGTCTTAACTTAAGATAATTTGTTTCAGAACTCATGTTTACTCAAAATTTAGCTTTTAATCACCTTGAGTGGAATACAAGCGTGATCCTCCTCCAGATCCTTCAGACAAATCTCCAGATGTAGCTCTCCAGCACCAGCGACGATATGCTCTCCAGACTCTTCAATGATACACTGCACCATAGGATCAGACTTGGACAGACGCTTCAGACCCTCCACCAGCTTGGGCAGGTCAGCAGGGTTTTTGGCCTCCACAGCAACTCTCACCACTGGGCTGACACTGAACTTCATCACTCTCATGTTGTGCGCATGCTCAAAGGTGGTGATAGTTCCAGTCTTGACAAGGAACTGGTCCACTCCAACCAGACCCACGATGTTACCACATGGCACATCCTCAATGGGCTCAACATAACGGCCCATCATCAAAATGGTCCTGTCACAGAGCAATGTGCAACGTTAGAATTGACAAAAAAATTGCGGTAAATTGACTCAGACAAGTGATAATGGCCAATATGTCAACTAATTGATCAGGGGGTCAGATGTAGAAACCAACCTCTGAATCGGCTTCAAGTAGAGATCTTCCTTCTTTCCAGGGACATAGTTTGGTCCCATAATGCGCACTTTCAGGCCGGTGGAGACACTCCCAGAGAACACGCGTCCAAAGGCATAGAAGCGACCCTTGTCGCTGGTGGGGACCATCTTTGAGATGTACACCATCAAGGGAGCCTTGGGGTCACAGTTCTTGATACCTGATTATATAAAAAAAAACAAAGGTCTGATAATCAGTTCAAGTCCAAGAACAACCGCTACAACTCTAAACCACATCTGCCTTATAGCCCTGCCCAAATCTCCCCATGAGCAATTACTGAAATTATGCAGGGGCTGTGTATGTTTAAACATTCTATTCCTGTGAATGAACAGAGCTAAAATATATATATATATATATATATATATATATATATATATATATAAGCTTCATACCCATGGCAGCCTCATCATCTCCAGGTCCTTCATAAAGCAGCTCGCAGCGGTACTTCTGGGCAGTGACGGGGGAAGGCAGGTGGATGGTGATCATTTGGAGAAGAGCTTCTCCGGCAGGTAGCCAGCGGCGCATCACAGCCTTCAGGAGAGGCTTACCCTCCTTGTCCTTGTCCTCAGTATCCAACTTGATTTCCAGCTTCTGGATCAGTTTGGCAGTTTCCTCTTTCTTGAAGTTCATGATGGCATCAAACACCTAAAAGGGAAGTTAATCTGAATTAGTTGAATGACATTTAACATGACCAAGCCATGGATGTTAAAGTAAACAACTGTTTATGTGCCCTGCTCAGACTGAAGATTATCATCACTGGTTACTCAGGTCAAAGTGAAGAATGTTTATGTCATCACTTGCAGGCACACAGTAAAATTAGAGAAAAATAAACAGAATTTACTGACATACAATTCCACAATGTACTTCCTTTTTATCTAAATACACTGTACCTCAGCAATATTTAAATAAAATCAAAGTTACCTTGAAGATGGGGTCCAGGATAAGGGCAACAAAGGTGCGGGGGTACTTGGTGCCATCAGCTCCAGTTGCAGTCTTGAGGAACTTTCCAGCAGCTGCGTCAAAGTACCTGAGTAATATATACGGTGTTAAGACTTACCAATAAAATAGTCAGAGACTACTACATTTGTAACAGACCCAAATTCTTGTCAAATTTAGTTTAAAACTCAAACATTTAAAAAAACCATCCACTTTGTGTGCTCCTGTCCCTCTAGTGGGCATTTATGAAGTAACCCTTTGCTACACAACTAAATCAATTTAATTCGGTAATAAGACGCACCTATCACCCCACAGCTTCTTCATCATGTCTTCCACCTTCTTGCAGTGCTCAGCTGCTGTCATCTGAGTGTTGCCCTTTGCAGCAAACTTGGCTGCATACATCTCAGCAAACTGCTTCAGGGTGAAAGCCCAGCCATGGAGTCCAGAGCCAAAGCCAACAGTACCAATGACTGGATCAATCTAGGAGAATTGATGACACATCAGGACATTAGTATTTTAAAGAAATTCAATGTTTAATTATAATTAGATTTACTGGACAATGATGGCTGCTTATGGTTTTTTCAGAGTGGTACGATGCATAAACTGGGAAACAGTATATTGGTAATGACATGATTACTCAAGAAAAGCAGCAATGTTATTCTCTGCCTGCAAAGATACATTCCAGCTCCCATACTACTTTTGTCTGTCTATGTTTCTGTGTGTGTTGCACTCAAGATAAAAAAGGTTCAGCCACTCACCATGAGGTTGCCCATAGGTCCATTTTCATCTTCACCGTAAGTGGAGATGATGACATTGACTGACTCAACAATACGCTGGAAAGTCTGGTAAAGATCTTCAGGTTCAAGCTGCAACTCCAACAAGGCACGGTCCATCTTGTTCATCATCAGGACTGGCTTGATACGCTCACCGATGGCCTGACGGAGCACTGTCTCAGTTTGCACACATACACCTGGCAGGGGTACACAATGAGACAATTTAACCCAGAGATGTCAGCAGATCAAGTTGTCTAGTCTAAATTAGATGGTAAACATGGTATGAAAACCACCATCAAGCTTTTTACTCAGTGAATTCACATGTCAACTTTTCCTGTATTGCATGCACATTTAATACAAGCAGGTTTCATGTTAAAAAAAAAAAAAAAAAGTGCACACTTGAGATCCTTTAAGACAATAAATTATAGGCAAATTGTCTGTGGGCCAAGACAAGCAATCTTAGAACATGTCTCTCACAAAAACAAAATATAACAAATTGACATCCTTTAAATCACTGTGAATCTGATTTAAGTCTCAGCTAATGTTATATGCATCCAATAATAAAAATATTCAGTTATGTCCTTACCAGACACGCAGTCCACTACAACCAGGGCTCCGTCAGTCACACGGAGAGCTGCAGTCACTTCAGAGGAGAAGTCAACGTGTCCGGGTGAGTCGATCAGGTTGATCAGGAAGCCGGCGCCATCCTTGGTCTGCTTAATGAATGCCAAGTCATTTTCAGCCAGCTCGTAGAACAAGGAGATGGCGCTGCAAGTCAGCACAACTTATTAGACAAGGTCAGACGTAAACAAGAGTAACATTTTAAATGTCACTAAACTTGTGTTGCAATATGATAGTGTAAGTGTTTTTGGTATTAATTTAAAATAAATGCAAATATCAATCTAATAGAATGTAATTCTTAAATTAAACTCATTGCATGAACAGCAGTAGATAGTTTTTAATTTTTAAAGACACTGTTTGCAAAATGGTTACCCATGATGTAAGCATGACGTAACACTGTTAACTAGGGTAAAACAAAGCCAACATACATCCAGTAGTAGCAAACATCTGTCTGTATACTCAACAAATTTCCAGCAAAGTGTTTAAACTAATTGAAAGGATTAAAAAACGTGAGGCCACCAAGGAGTAATGCAATGAACAGTGTTCGGCACAAAAATAGCAAGACAGCCAAATTAACAGTGCCTTAGTTGACTATGCAGATGTCAATGTGCTAATGACAGCTGTTCTGTGAGTGGGCCAATTTATTTACATTTCAGATACCTGACTGAGCAGGTGTCACATGAGAAATAAGTGTACGCCCACACCACCCTTAATGTTAATTACTTACTACCAAATGTTTGGTGTGCTAAAACAGTAGGAATGAGGCTGTGTAAGAGTGCAGTTGTAAATATAAAACAATACTCACGTTGACTTGATGGTAATACAACGTTCCTGTTCATCTTTCCGTGTGTCTGTGAATCGGGTCTCTCCAGCACGAGCTGAGGCAATGATGCCAGCCTTCGACACAAGCGAGTCTGTCAGGGTTGACTTTCCATGGTCGACGTGCGCAATCACCGACATGTTACGGATGTTGGCCTTTTTGTCCATGATGGCACGGATCTGGTCTACGGTAAAGTTCACCTAAGGGGGGGGCAAAATGAGAACATTCACAAAAAAGCACCAATAGCAAAGAGTATTTCTTACAGTGGCTGTATATCAACCTATTTTGACAACCTACAGCCAATGATCATGATTCTGTACACTTCATTTAACAGTTGGTGCACCCAGAGCTTATCGGAAATTGCTGCTGACGCAGTGAAAACTTGGGCACTTTCTCCACCCAGGGCGTTGGGTGTCCGCCATCAGCAGCATCACAGCTGTGACGTTACCGTCATCTACATTTAGCCTATTCATTTTACATCCCTGCGATGGTGTTTAAGTCTACATCCAGTGAATAACAGCGATGGCCTGAGTAAGTAGACAATATTATAAATGGGTTGTTAATGAAAAATAGGTCCGGCTAAGCAGCACCCGGCATAATATGTCGGCACGACTAGGCCACGTGTACAGACTGCTAGTTAGATGCTAACATTGGCTTGAAAGCTAATCGAGCCGGCTGGGCCGGGGAGGAAAGATGCCGGTAAACTATTTATAGAAGCCGGTACAACTTTAATACATGCTGGTAACCCCATCACAGAAGACATTTGAAAATACACTTGTCTTGCACAGCTACATTCACAACGGGATTATTACAAAAATGTTCTTGTGACAACGTCGGAGCAAAAAGCCGCTGGAGTAAAAGTTAGCCGATAACGCAACGTCACCAAACGCTAGCATTTCAACAGTTACACAATAGTTAGGCGTCATATCAGCAATCAATACTTTCATTAAGGTTTTCAATCACATGAAGAAGCAAACAATATAGCAAACAATTCAGAACTGGTTTTATACAATCTCAGTCGGGTTAGCGGTACAAATGACAGAATGGCTGCCATTTTGATCAAAGCACAATCCAGACACCAGACACGCAAGCAGCACAGCATCCGTAAAATCTAATAAATAATATCATAAATACTGACGTTGAGGATACCTAATGTATCTGATAACTGAATAATTAACCGGAAAAATGTGTTAAACTCACCATTTTGACGGATGGTTTTGGATTCGCTTAGTGGCGAAAAGACACAGGAAATTTTACACTGCCCACCTTACGAGGGCATAGGCAGGGAAGAGGCCGCTGACGTCAGAAAACAGGGCTTTATAAGACGTGCGTCAGTCTTGTGCGTCCTCACGTAGCATGTTACGTTTAAAGACCATGTGGCTCTGTGACCCGCTGCTTTTGCTCAATGCAGTTTGGTGTTTTTTATTCAAAGCAGAAAGATGTTGAATTTTGGTGTAATAAAATTTTGACACACACATATACTTATAAATACTTCAAAGTATATGTCATATATTGATTAAAACGCTATTAACGCTTCTTTGCTTTAACTTATATTTGAATTGTTTGCTTTTTCTTTCCTTTTCTCCTTGTTGAAGTATGCTGCTTAAAATTATTGTTACCTATGGTGATGCCTGTTTGTAATTTGAAGATGTTTAATGGGCAGTGGTGGCCTTAAGGTCAGAGAAATGAGCTTGTGACTGATCAGATGTGGGTGGTTCACTGCAAGTCCCTAATTCCAGTTTAAAATGTAGATAATGTTCATAACTTGTTTCCTCAATTATTTGCCAGTAATCAAATCTCACTGCTAAATGTGTAAAATCTGAATTTGGCATTTTAAGTTATGACACCTATCTGCAGCAATAATTCAACACACATAACTCCTTCAATATTTAAGGAAACATCAGTGGTGAAAAGTAACTCTCATTTTATCCTACTTTATACTTCTACTCTACGACATTTAAGAGGCAAATCATGTACTTCTTACTCCACTTTTACTATTTATAAGACAGCTGTAGTTACTAGATACTTTACAGATTAACATTTACAAAATGTAATTAATAAAGACTATCCAGCAGTAAATTAGCCCCACATTTACCATCTGAAACACTAAAGTAATTCATCAAGTAATACATCAGTAATTATAATATAATTACATATTTTATTATTCTCAACTGAGACATGCATATCAGCATGTTTACCATTGATACCTTATTTTGATGCTGATACCTCTGTGCTTTTATATTATATATTATATATTATGGCAGCACTTGAAGCAGAAAAGCAGATTTTCTTCATTTGGTAGAAATCATTATACAAACAGTTCTACAGTAAATCAACAATGTCAGGTATTACAATATTCTATTAAGTAATCTTTTCTCATTGATAGCTGCACCTTAATCCTTGCATTTTGTCTTCTCTGGGGAAACAAAAACAAAATTACTACGTAAAATCCCATACTGTCGGCATAAAATAATTACTAAGGATTTATTAATGATTTTTTCTTTTAAAGAAAACTCTGGCCAAATCTTCTATTTCTTGTCACATGGGGAAGTGGGCTCTGGAAAGATGGTAGTGTTGGGCCTGGGATTATTTTGTATTGTTAGTCATATTTTTCAAATGTCATCTGTGATCATGTTACCTGATTATATTTTTCCAACAGATGGCGCCCCAGCTTCACTTCCAGAAACTCCAACTTCAGTAACTCGGCACACTAGTCTCATAAAACACAGATAAAAACTGTGTTATTGAGAGGTGCATTTCATCGTGTACTGAGTGAAGCAGTGATTATGTTGCACTCACAGTAATGCTTCAGTCTATAAGTGAAGGTTAATGTTACTTTTCATAGGCTTCATCAATGTGAGTAATGTGAAAGCCTGATGTCTACTTAGATCATGCTGGAATGAATGCACTATTAGTCTCCAATTAAAGTAACCTAACAAAAGAATACATTTGGCAGCCTACATTTTTCTTCGTCTGTTGATCTAATTAAACGCTGTTTACTTTGTTATAGAGTCTTTGTCCAGCTGTGTGGCTTTTAAGTACATATGTAGAGATACAAAGGAAGGAAGGAAAAAAACAGAATAAGCCGTGTGAGAGCTAACGGTTTGGTCGAGAGGGCTGCTGTTCTGTTTACCTTCAAAGGATGTGTTTATTTTGAACTCTCTGTGGCAATCAACAAAGGGAATTTGAATGATGAAGAGTGGGGCTGCTGTGGCTCAGGCGCTAGAGAGGGATCTCTAGCAATCAGAGGGTTCCTGTTTAGTAATTGAAGGGTTTCTGGTTCAATTCCCGTTGTCCTTGTGCAAGATACTGAACCTCAAATTACTCCTGATGGTTGTGCTGTCGATGTGTGTACATGTGTCGGCGGAGCGCATCATTGTGAGGGCTTTGGATAGAAAGTGCTGTATTGCTTCTGATGAGCAGGTTGCACCTTGTATCGGTGTATGAATGTGTGAGTGTGTGAATCTGACAAGTTTGAGTGGTTCGTGGATGTGAAAAGGTCCAAGTCCATTTACCATTTACTGTTATTTGTCAAAAATCATCCAGGAATCTTTATAATTCACACAGTCATGGGTTTCCCGTACAAAATGTCTTACTACTACATGTTTAGCTCCACGGAAATATGCAGTTTAGTTTTCCTTTATTAAGTATAATCTCCATAATACATCCAGGAAGAGATGGTTAATTATATTACTAAATATTTTAAAACTCTTAAAAATCTGTTGTAAATGTAATACATTTCTACATTTCAGGTGTGGTTTGAGTAAAGAATGTATTGAAGATGGATAATGATGGTAAGGGAGACAAGATATTAATAATAATTTTATTCATAGAGCACTTTTAAAGCAATAAGCACAATGTGCTTTCCAAGGTCAGAAAATGAAAAATATGAGTAACAAATGCGTGCAAACAAATACATGTACACATGGTTAATACATACAAATATACAAAGAAAAAAACTCTCAATGAAAGAAATAAAGACAAAATGACTAAACCCGTATTTCTACAGAGGGTAAACTGTTGAATGCAGAATGTTTATTGTGTGTGTAAGTAAAGGCATGCACTGCATTCATCTCCATCACCACTCACATGATAGATTGACAATTATGTGATGTGAATTGTATGGACATGCTAGTGTCACAAAAGCACTCATTAAAAAGCATAACATTATGAGACTGAGGGTGGGGGTGCATCAAGAACCAAATTAGAAAACAATTAGGCCCAAAATGTACACAGCACCACAGGCATGCTCAAAAAACCACAAACATAGTAATTTGAACAAATTTGTCAGTGTTAATTACCTGTGAGAACGGGAAGTAAACTGTGGAAAATGTTCTCATTTAACGCCATTGCACCTGATCTGCTTGTCTAACTGTAGCTCTCAGCATGCTGTCATATCTGAAAACACTCACACGTAATGATTGACAGGGAGAAATGGCAGGCTGCTCAGCCTGAGTAATTGACTATGGATTGAAATGACACCAAAATTTTTAGAGGGATGATGTGATTTCTCCCATAACAGCTATCCCTGGGAATGTGTCTTGTTAAAATTCAAAGTTGTTACTTTAAGAGGAATCCATGTTCTTCTGGTACTTTGTGTGACAGAAAGAGACAGAAGTCTGACATACTGTATCCACATATTTGCTTCAGTCTGATCCTCAAAAATGCATGCACGCTTGAAAGCCGACTCTTTTTTTTTGCTCTCTTGCCTTGATCCTTGCCCTCATTTACTCCCTGTGATAGCCCAAAATAACATCAGAGGTCTTTTAACAACAAAATATAATTAGTTTACAGTCAAAATCTAACTCTTCAAAGCAGTGATAATACATCTGAACTTCTGTCTGAAGAAGCACAAAAGAATAGACAAAATCACTGTCACATCCCAGTGCCCACATCACAATAGTGTTTGAATGATGTGCTTAAAAGCCCCAAAATACATTAAAAAATACAATGTACTTTCACAATCGTAAATGTTGCACAGACAGAAAATACAAGCAACTTGTCCCCTGTTGCCTCTCCAAGGTATCATTATGGCAAACAGCAAGAATGCGCTATAAATAATAAATGAATATATCAAATAACAGAGTGTAATCCATTGTTATGTAAGTGCTGTATGACAGAAAGTGACTCGTTTACAAAAACAGTACAAAAGTATATTTGAAACTTTAATCATTTAAGATATGATCATCAGAATCAACTTTATTGCCCAAGTATGTTGACACAAACCAACGAAAGGAAACTGATAATACACTCCCACAGCATCATAAACTAATGCACAGGACATACACATACAGACATAAAGCTAAACAGATACAGCAAAGCTATCTTAAAACCTTTAAATCATTTTCTTCAAATTATAATCTACTCCTTGTCCCTCTCTGAAAAATCCAGAATCAAAAGTTGTGCTGCTTTCTCCTACTTCAGTGAAACATCCAGAATATGTGTGCTGGAGGTTTCAAGTTTCCTCATTACATTTCTATAAGTTGCATACCACAAGTGGCTTCAAAACTTTGTCCTTTATTTCACAAAGTCATGTTTGTAAGTAAATAAAGCAAAGAGAAACCTATCCCGTAGAAAACATAATTACTGTTATTGTCTATTTTGTGTACACAAATTCTATAATAACTATATGAAAGTGTCTTTGATGAGAGAAAGCAGTAAGAATGTTTAAGTCGTGCTTGAGTGATGCTCTTTCCTCATTAAAAGTTTGTCTGTACATATAAAGGTCGCATGAAACATGTGCTATTTGCTTCTGCATAATTACATATTTCCTGTAAAAACAGGCAGCTAGGGAAAGGCCAGCTGTGTGTTACGTTCCCTCAGTCGGGCAGCTCTAGTGGACCCATTAGCTGACTCTGCCGGAGTGGGAGCTCCCAGTGAACAACATGGCCAGAACAGGACTGAATGCAGCATAGATGGAGGACAGTTTGAAGACAGGGAATACAGTACCAAGGGGCCAGTTAAGTCAACTAATGTTAACTGCACAAGTTAACTAGCTGGCATTACTTTTGGCAACAGTTCACCTGGAAACTTTGTAACTCACTTCAGTACTGTCAGTCTGTCCTCTGTCAGTCTCGGAGGCTGCTGAGCCCCATTCGGTTGCACGCTAACGGCAGCTACATTAGTGTAAATGAGTTTGTCCTCCCTATTTTAATCTTCAAGTGACAAAGATGTTTCCTGCTTGCAACGCAGGTTGGCGAGGTTGCATTGTTTTTGAAAGTGTGACTAAGTGTTTAATATTGTGACCATGACAACGGAGCTTCCCTTACCTTAAAGGGTAACACTCTCGTATTCTGCAAGTCTGTCTTATCTTATCTTACTTTACATTACTTTACCTTACCTTATCAACGTGATTATGTGTACAGGGCAAAAATAATAATTATGTGTAGAGGGTCTCTTATATAATAGACATTCTAACCCAAACCACAGTATTTCCCTAAGTCCTAAGTCTATATTGTGCCTAAACCTAACTTAAAGCTAAACTTGTTGTGTTGAGATATCATAAAACAGATTTTTTTAATAGTTATTTAATAATTGATAATCTTTATTTTTTGAAGTGTGACCCCTTACAGTAGTAAAACAATGTGAAACAGAGTAACAAGATTCCTAATTCCATTTACTAAGTTGTGGTGGTTCTGGTTTCAGCCATTTTTTGTTATCTGTTTAAGTACTGCTATTAGAATTCTAAAAAGATATTTATCATTTTATTGAGAGAGAGGCTGTGGTGTTCTAGCAAGTAATAGTTGTTCAGGTCCTAAAGGAAGTTTACACAGCTCTCATTTGCTGTTTTATTTAATGATATTACTTTTACAAGATAACTTCTCATTTGTAAATATTTATGGGTTTTTGGTAGATCATATAATTTTGATAAAGTCTTGAAAGTAGCTATTCCTTTATCTGTAATTACATGATTATAATTAATCAAGCCTTTACTCGCCCAGGTTTTATATTTCTTCCAGAGTAGGTTTAAATTCTTTGTCCCTTACAGTCTCTCTCATGTATATTACATCTCTTTTGATATCCTTTAGTTTTGTAAAATTTATCCAAGACATTATTGTATTTTTATACACACACACACACACACACACACACAAATATATATATATATATATATATATTTTTTTTAATATATCCTTAGTATTCACTTTGGCAGATATATATATTCCAATCCTTACCCATTTGTTCAGTTTCCATTTTTCCCATTTTGCTGCTGAATAGTTACCTAGCCAAACTGTAATTGGTTTGATAAGGGCATCATAGTACGAGTTAATTAAATTTGGAAGCGCTAGTCCCCAATGTGTCTTGATTAATTTGATTTTTATTCAGGGTTTTTTCCTTCCCCAAATACATTTTGTAAACATTTTTTCCCATTGGTTTAGTAGTTATTTAACAGTTTTGGAAGGCACACACATGATGTTCCCCTGCTGTCAGATCAGAAAACTTGTATGCATCATTCTAGAGGGCATAAACAAACAGCATGTTTTGTTGAAAGACTTGGTTTGTCAGCACTGTTGCCAGTAGAAAATAAAGAAATATGAGACACAATAGAAATAGAGAAAAAAACACTGAAACTACGGACTGTAGCCAGGAGATGGACCATTCTATTTGACCTAGAACCAGTAAGAAGGGCAAAACTGTGGAGGGACCAGAAATGTTTTGGGTTCAGGCCATCGCACCTCAGTAGAAGTACCTTTTAAAAGTAACTTGAAGTCAGCTAAAGGACAGCTTTGGTGACCCCACTGTCCTTCAGGTGCTGCTCCTTCAAGCATGTAATCCACATTACGCTGGGCAAGCAACACATTCATAGTTGTAGCCAATCTCTCAATGTCAGCCAGGATAGGCTCCAGCTCTCCACACAGAATAAGAGCGTATAGATAATGGAGGGAGGGATCATTTCTATTGATTGACTGTATAAACAGATTATTTGAGATTAAATGCTTCATTGGCCAGTGAAAATATAAGACATACTTGTGACCTGACACTTGATTTGACTTTGGCCTGAAAAAATAGTATGCAGCAGTACTTGAGGCTTATTATTCTTACAGTAAATGACAAAATACGAAATTAATCAAGTTATTCTAAAATGACTCCTTTCTTTTGCTGATCTGCAAACCACCAGGGAAAAATTATTTCCATGACTGAGAGAAACCAACACGAACTGTTGGTAGGAGATGGGGCGTAAACTGTTGACTCTGGGGTCAAAGTCAGACGTTTTGTACATGAATACTTCCACTCAAACCTCCCCCTTAGGCTGCTCGAACAATAAACCAGTACTGTCCCTTTTTGTCTCAAGAGGAGCCATTGTTCGCACATCCACAAGAGTATACTTGAGGATAGGTCAGGAAAATGTGAACATGGGTCGTTTTAAGCAGTTCGAGCAAAAATGCTGTTGTGCTTCTGGAAAGATAATTATGTGTATGTATGTGTGTTTGTATGTGTACATGTCATTTCAGAAAACAGTTCAACCACGTCATGTCATTGTTAAAGTCCCCTGACTACCTCGTCCAGCTGTTTGTTTCTGATGCCAACTCACTATCTATTAATGGAAATTATGATGGAGGGTTGGTGTGATGTTCCACCTCATCACCATGTTGTACCTGTAGCACTGAGGCTGTGTTGAGTAGCTGTTCCCCAGAGTTTTACCAGCTCAAAAAGGTAAAATTATCCATCCATGTGTGTTGTGACTGCAGTCATTTATGTAGCTACTCTGGTGTGAAAATTTCTAGTTAGGATTGCAAGCACTGACTGCAGTCAAGAGCCTATAAAACTCAATCTAAAAAATTGGAAAATTAAATCAGAAAAAACATTTTTGCGAGTCTGAGGACTGCCTAGTCCATCTTTTCTGGAAATTGGTCATTGCTCATTTACTGACACCTGCAGTGGAGTATAAACTCAGTGTTCCGTGTTAGTCTCACAGCTGCCTGTATGTGGTATGAATTCCCTCTGAAATATTGTGAGGTATGCTTTAGATTTAGCACTTTTTCTTAACTTGCAATACCATTTTAATAAGACATAATTAATGGCTATATCATGTATTATAAAGCCATAGATACGGATTACCTTTAGGTTGAAAGGGTTATAAAATGAATCCATTTGGTATATCCTCCCCCAGCATAGCTTTGTTATGTCTTCTTAACAAGTCCTTAGTCCCTATTTCATTCTGAAGACCCTTACAGTGGACAGGTTGTCCATTTCACCTTACTACAGAGCTACAGGCTACAGGGCATCAACTGCAGACCGGGCTACTGTTGATAATGTTAATGTTGTTAATTAAGGGCTTTTGGATTAATTAGTTCTAGATCAAAGCAGGTTATGGCCCCCATAGTAAAAGAGCACGTATTTAGCCTATTCCACTGTATTAATTCAATTATTCTCATCTGCTTAATAAAAGTTTACCTTTTCATTAACCGTGTTAAATTATTAATCAGATGCGCTCATAATTTTGAACCACGTGCTTGAATCCTTCTTTATACAAAGATATTTCAAGTTAGTCTGTTTCCTTGTTGCAATTCCCTTGAACGTGTGTTTCAGCTAGCCTTCAGTAACACAAAGAAGCTTTCATCCGACAGCATTATCTGTTATGCTCCAGTATTGTTGGCCTGGAATCACAAATGAAGAGGGCAAGTATAGTAAAGACTATCTTTCTTTTTTTGTTTGTCTCCCTGACACTTACTGAATAAAGCCGTCAACTCTCTCTGTGGCTGATGAATGATTTTTGACTGAACAGGTTAATGTACGTGGGTATTTATTTGGCTGAGGGTTCTTTGCTGGTATTTGCTGTGGAGATGGGGTCACAATAGGTCTCTAAGACTACATTTATTTTTTATATGGGTAACAAGATACAAAATTGAAATTTCAAAGTCAAGAGTGAACTTTAAACCTCTAGTCGAAATGAACAAGATGAAATAGTCTTGTGAACTGCAAGGGAAATGAAGGGGAAAAAACTGATGGTTAGAAAAAAAAGATGTAGGACTAATTTGCGAGTACATCACAGACACTTTTCTGGTCACTTGGCCATTTGGGAATCAGCAAAAATTGTGAATTTGGGGTCAAGATAGGTCCCAAAAACAGGATATCATGCAAATATGCAAAGAGAAGTTAGTCACTATTCTTTAGTGACTAACTTATGGCTTGTCTCAAATGAGCAGCTGCAATCCATTCTTTGTGAATTTGCCCCTGAATTACTTTCCATAAGATTTACCTTTAAAATTAAACCAACATTCCCTATCAAACTCAGCTGGGAAATCCAGAGAGCCCACGATGTGCATCAACTTGCAGGATCAAGGTTGTTTAAGTTTTATTTATGCATGATGAATTTGACTCTTAAAATGAACTTTGTAAATTAAAAATCTATTGATGCTGGAGTGTCAAGAAAGGTTTATACTGGAGCAATTTTATGTATAATGTTAGAAGCAAACAGCATTTGGACAGATCTGGGTAAAAGGATTACTAGACCATGTCATGCCAGTGAGACTGTCAAAGGCTTTCATTTTCGCCTGCATTTGTGGAATTGACTCAGTTGATGTAGACATCCTGATGACATTGTTTCTCAGCTACCATCCTCCTGTTGAGAGATTAGCTGTCAAGAAGACTCTCCAGGGCACGATGGATGAAAGTGATGAAGAGGACTTTCTCAACCTTTTTACAAGAATGGGTTCCCATTTCCTACCTCCAAAGAACAACATGAGCCTGCCACTAAAATAATGGCTTATAACGGCATTAGAGGGCGGCATTGGGTGACCAGTTCAAGTCCAGCATAAACCAGTTGATATGGAGGTGGACTGGTAGCTAGGGAGGTGCCAGTTCACCCCTGAAGCAGTGCCCAGGCAAATAATAAATAAATAATAATAAATAATAGTTGGAATGGTTTATTGCATTTAAAAAAACATTTTTGTTTGACTGTTCATCTGATGCACTGCACCAGTAGCATCATTAGGCCTGGGCGACTGAGGCTACACCCCCCGAATGCTTTATGGATAGCCCTGGATCTAAAAAAAAAAAGACTTGGATCTATTCTGTTTGTCATTCAAGCAGCAGACAGTTAGCATGTGTGCAGTTTGTGTGAGCACGAGAGAGAGAAAGAGAGAGCGCACACCAGTTACAGGACTTCAAGTCTTGAAGGCTACGGATATAAGAAGCTTTTTGAAGGACAACCTCATCTACAAGCTCAGGTTGGTAAAGTTTTTATGACCAGGACATGAGTGAGGAGAAGAGAACAGGAGGAGAGCGCAGAGGGGATGAGGAGTTTGACAGACAGATGAGACACCAAAAGAGCTACTGGAGAGCTGAAGAAGAGGAGAGTATCAGATAGACAGATAAGACAGAGTTAATACAGTTTGTCAGAATTAAAAAGGAGCCCTTAACATACAATATTTCTTCCATATTGTAAGCTTTGAGACCAGAGTTGCTCAATTTTCAAAATTAAACAAAGCATTAGCAACATACAATCTAGCTTATTTTTATCTTTTACTCCTGCTGCTGAAAGTTGTGAAACATTTTGATAGACCACAGTGTCTCATATCTTATTATCGTTTTACTCTGAAATAACTTCAAAATGTTGTCAAATCTAGAGATTTCTGAGCTGGGTTAAGTGTTTCAAGATCCTAACAATGCCTGTGCACTGACCAATCATTTCCATCAGTTTAACCCTAACCCAGCTTCGAGGCTGAGCTTACTGTTGTGTTTTTGTTGCTAATAAGAAAGATTACATTGTTTTTCATTACTGATGAAATTGTTAATTAATTAGTTATATTAAAGCATTGGAGGCAAACCTTTTTTGTTTATTCAGGAAAAAACTCAGTTTGAAAGTTCAAATTAAGAATAATTTTTCCTCAGATCCCCAGTTTCTGTGTTGACGAACACAGAGAATATCATTAAAAGAAAACTTAAAAAAGAAAAACACTTGTGAATGCTAACCAAATATATTATTATACTCGTAACACTTAACTCACCTTACTTCCATGAGCTGCACATAGAGTTGAGAGAGGACACTTTTACAATCATTTTCTGTCCATTGCTTCGCCAGAGCCTGAATTCGAATTGTTTTATTTGAGCTCATAACCTTGAAAGAATAACTTGTTTCATGTTTCCTCTGCTCAGAAAGAAAGTTACCACTATTGGTTTTTCAGTTTTGCCTTTTTGATTATGAAAGTAGTCACACGTTTAGACATTTATCTATGTTATAAAAGTCTGTATTTTGTATTTTAATTAATAATTGGAAGAACATAAACTGAGCAGAATGTTATGGCATTACAGCAACATCGTCACTTCACTGTAAATGTCCGTTAATCAGTGATTATGCATCTGACTTGTACAAAGGTCCTCATATTCCTGCAGAGGATATAATTATTCCTGCAAAAATCATGGCTGCCTCCTGACAAACAACATGATTGGCTATCACATTGTATTTTGATGCAAATCTGGATCCACGTAAAGGATTGTGTAGCCTTGGTGGAGGTAGGAACAACCTGTATTTTCTACCTTCAGACTCAGTGCATTGTATTTTTTTTACCGAGGACATACTGAATGGATCTGGACTGAATTCAAACAACCATTTTTATTTGGCTCCCTAATGTGCAGAAACCAAACAGAGAGACGATATCTGATTTATATGTGTTCTTTGAGGAAACAGCACTTGGCAGTGGTTGACAGCTTGTACTTTGTCTCGTCACTCTTTTTCTTGTTTGTGGGCATTATGTGACTGAATGCAAACATGCTTAAAAAGGTGTTGACGGGTGCCCGGTTAGCTCAGTGGGTAGAGCTAGCGACCCATGTACTGAGGCTCAGTCCTTGCTGCAGCGGCCCAGGGTTCGGGTTCTGACCTGCGGCCCTTTGCTGCGTGTCTTCTCCTCTCTCTGCCCCCCTTTCCTGTCTATCTTCAGCTGTCTCTATCATAAAGGCAATAAAAATCCCCCAAAAAATCTCCCCCCCAAAAAAAGCAATGACATTTTGAAACAGCCCCAAATATTCAAAATGACTAATGACCCAGTTCCTGTGAGACAGAGTCAGCAGCAAAAAGGCTTTATTGAAATTTGTTCACTCTCTAGTATATAACACACATTATACAGCTCCTAGTGGAATGCCTCTTATATGTGAAGGGATTGCACTTAACACATATCATGATGGTCACTTTTATGGAGAAGGTAGTTGATACAGCACATGATAGGGAAGTTTGATTAAGGAAGAGAAATTATGGTCCTGAATTCATTTTGCGTTTGTGTCATCACAATGTAAACAATTCCAACAAACAAAAGCCAGCTTGAAGCCAGCTTCATGGCCAGAAGGCAGCTCATCGGAGTGCTTGGGTTAACCATTCACACAGAACTGAAAGCTGCTGACATGCTGACTGTAAGCTTTTGTCAACATTGAAAGGGGCTTCCAATTCATGCTATGCTGTGTCAGTTAACAGCAAATCTGCCACACCCATCACATTTCATTGACCAGAGGCCTCATGTATAAAAGACTGCCCAGCTTTCATATTGAATGAAGGCATACTCACAAAACTTGAAATGTCTGTATGCAAAGAAATATCCACAAATAAAACCAGGTGTATGCCAGGTCCTGCACACCTTTTTTGTGAAATTGATCGTATTTACTATGAAAATGATTATAAGTATGTCCTGCTGTTATCTTCTGTCCAAATCACAATGGCCAAAACCTCTGCAAAACAAGCAAAAAAGAAAAACTTTACTGAGAGTGAGATCAAGGTGCTGATCACTGAGTTTGAGGTCATAAAAAATATTTTATTTAGTAGTCTGTCCTCTGGAATAAGCAGCAAGTTTAAATACATGGAGTGAGTCACAAGAGCGGTTAATGCAGCCGGTTAAGAGAACCATACTATGGCAGAATAAAGATGTAAAAAAATAAAAATGTCTGATAAAAACTAATAAAAAAATGTGCAACTGCACATAGTGTCGCTGCTACAAGTGTGGGCTCAGGAAAGCCAGAACTGACACCACATGAAGGAAGGGTCGCTGCAATGAGAAGCCCTCATTTCTGGCATCCTGTCCGTATGTCATGAATGTTACTCCCGGCAGTATAGCTGCTGCACTTGGCTTTGGTGGCCCCCGGGTCGGGTTCATAGATGCACTACTCCTGTGGCAGAGGCATGCTACATCTGTGAGTGAGTGCATTTATCCACCTGGCATTGCCTTTTCTTAACGGGGAGGTGGATCTGTGCACTTTCTGTGCATCATGGATGTCCATCTCAGCAACTGTACAGTCTCAGACATACGTTAACATCTCCATCCCCCCATGAGCCGGTGGACGCACAGTACGGGGATATAGAGGGTGCCTGTATCTATTTCCTAAGTTGATTTTTTTCATTAATTAAACACCCTCATATTTATTAGTTATGGTTGGTGGGAAAATTGCATTTTCTCCCTGTTTGGCTTTCTGATGTTAAGAATCATCTACAGAAATGTTTAAACTATCAGTGGACATAATTATAGTTTTTCATACACATATCACAGTAACTGGAATGGAAACTTTATTTAGAAACATCTGGTGAGTTTCAGTACTTTGAAGTTTGAAATCAGCAAGTTACAGAGCCAACACTGTATGACATGTACAGAGGCTAACGGGATTGTGAGACCGGTAAAACCAGAGAAGGCAGTCCAGACTGGCATACAAATCTGACAAGAAGCAGAAAAGAATCAATAAACAGGTAAGGTAACAATGTTGCAAGCTGAGCAA